CCTCCACCTCCTGGGTTCAAGCAATTCTTCTGCCTCAGCTTCATAAGTTGCTGGGACTACAGGCACACACCACCATGCCCAGCTAATTTTTGTATTTTTAGTAGAGATGGGGTTTCGCTATTTTGGCCAGGCTGGTCTCGAACTCCTGACCTTCTGATCTACCTGCCCCGGCCTCCCAAAGTGCTGGGATTACAGGCGTGAGCCACCATGCCCAGTCAAAGTTTCTATTCTTAAGGAACTAACATCTTACGGAAAACACAAAAAATATATATATCCATTTGTTCATTCATTCATTCGAAAAATATTTACTGAGCACCTACTGTGTGCTAGACACTGTTCCAGGTGCTGAAAACATATACCAGAGAATAACATGCCCTCTGCCCTTGTGGTGCTTACATTCTAGTTGGAAAGGAATAAAAAGTATAGAGAGGCCGGGCACAGTGGCTCACGCCTGTAATACCAGCACTTTAGGGGGCTGAGGGGGGCAGATTACTTGAAGTCAGGAGTTCAAGACCAATCTGCCCAACATGGTGAAACTCCGTCTCTACTAAAAATAGAAAAATTAGCCAGGCGTCATGGCACACACCTATAATCCCAGCTACTCGGGAGGCTGAGACAGGAGAATCGCTTGAATACGGGAGGCGGAGATTGCAGTGAGCAGAGATCACACCACTGCACTCCAGCCTGGGCAACAGAGCGAGATTCGTTCTGGAAAATAAATAAAAAGCTACCACAGGAATCCAGTGGAAAGATGCAGTGGTAGCAATGGCTATAAGGGAGGAGACCACCCCTCATATTGTCTTATGCCCAATTTCTGCCTCCAAAGAAAGAAAAAGTAAAAACTAAAAGGCAGAAATGAAATCCACAAGCAGACAGCCCGGAGCCACACACTGGGCCTGGTAGTTAAAGATCGACCCCTGACCTAATTGGTTCTGTTATCTATAGATTCCAGACATTGTATAGAAAAGCACTGTGAAAATCCCTATCTTGTTTTGTTCTATCTAATTACCGGTGCATGCAGCCCCCAGTCACTACCCTCTGCTTCCTCCATCGATCACGACCCTCTCACACACACCCCCTTAGAGTTGTGAGCCCTTAAAAGGGACAGGAATTGCTCACTCGGGGAGCTCGGCTCTTGAGACAGAAGTCTTGTTGATGCCCCCAGTCGAATAAACCCCTTCCTTCTGTAACTCAGTGTCTGAGTTTTGTCTGCGGCTCGTCCTGCTACAGCTATAGTTTTGAAATTCATGACTTGCTGAAAGTCATCAGTACGTTGCTCAGCAATCCTGTTTCCTTGATCAACTCATTCTCCACAAAGATTATCTTAAAATTTCTCCAAGCTAGGTGCAGTAGCTTACGCCTGTAATCCCAGAACTTTAGGAGGCTGAGGTGGGAGGACTGCTTGAGGCCAGGAGTTCAAGACCAGCCTGGGCAACATAGTGAGACCTTGTCTCTACTAAAAATGTAAAAGAATAATTAGCTGGGCATGGTGGCATGCACCTGTAGTCCCAGCTACTTGGGAGGCTGAGGTGGGAGCATCACTTGAGCCCGGGAATTTGAAGATGTGATGAGCTATGATCATGCCACTGCACTCTAGCCTAGGTGACAGACAGACTCTATCTCAAAATAAATAAATAAATAAAGTGGAAAATTTTTTTCTTTGTTTTGAAATGAAGTCTCACTCTGTTGCCCAGGCTGGAGTGCAGTGGCGCAATCTCGGCTCACTGAAACCTCCTCCTGGGTCCAAGCGATTCTCCTGCCTCAGCCTCCCAAGTAGCTGGGATTACAGGCACCCTCACCACGCCCAACTAATTGTAGTATTTTTTAGTAGAGATGGGGTTTCACCATGTTGGCCAGGCTAGTCTTGAACTCCTGACCTCAGGTGATCTGCCCACCTCGGCCTCCCAAAGTGCTGGCATTACAGGCGTGAGCCACCATGCCCAGACTGAACATTTTTAATTTTTAAAATCATTTTTAGAGATGGGGTCCTGTTCTGTTGCTCAGGCTGGAGTACAGTGACACGATCATTGCTCACTGCAGCCTCAAACTCCTGGGCTCAACAGATCCTCTTACCTCAGCCTCTCAAATAGCTGGGAATATAGACAAGTACCACCACACCTGATTAGTTTCTCATTTTATTTTTTGTAGAGATGGGGTCTTGCTACGTTGCCCAGACTGGTCTTGAACTCCTGGGCTCAAGTGATTCTCCTGCCTCAGCCTCCCGAAGTGCTAAGATTCCAGGTGTCAACCACCACACCCTGCCCACTTTCTTAGAGCTTCAGAATATCCCTTTTCTCTTTTTTTTTTTTTTATTTTTTTTTTGTTTTTTTTTTGAGACGCGACAGTTCGTCGCTCTGCCCGGCCAGGCTGGAGTGCAGTGCGCGGATCTCAGCTCACTGTCAAGCTCCGCCTCCCGGGTTCAGCCATTTCCTCCGGCCTCAGCTCCCGACGAGCTGGGACTACCAGGGCCCCCGCCACCTCACCCGGCCTAGTGTTTTTTTTGTGTAATTTCTTAATAGAGAACAGGGCGGTTTCACCGTGTTAGCCAGGATGGTCTCGATCTCCCTGACCTACGTGATCCGCGTCTCGCCTCCCCAAAGGTGCTGGGATTCACAGGCTTGAGCCCACCTGCGCCCAGGCCTATCCCTTTTCTCTTAACAAACAACTTTACTTCCTACTTGACAAAGAATACAGAAGACATCAAAGGAAATACTTTCATTTTCCAGAAAGCAAACATACAAACCTATGCATATCAGCGTTTAACTTCTGTTATAATTAGAGGTCAGTTCATTCTGCTATCTAAGTCCTTCCCCTCTGGTTGTGCTTTGGAGCTGTTCTCACTTGATATACTTTTCTCTGGCAAACTCATCTGCCTGTATTTCAGTACCCACCTAGAAGTAGATGACTTCAATATTTACATATTCATTTTAGAATTCCTTAAATGAAGTCTCACTCTGTTGCCCAGGCTGGAGTGCAGTGGCGCAATCTCGGCTCACTGAAACCTCCTCCTGGGTCCAAGCGATTCTCCTGCCTCAGCCTCCCAAGTAGCTGGGATTACAGGCACCCTCACCACGCCCAACTAATTGTAGTATTTTTTAGTAGAGATGGGGTTTCACCATGTTGGCCAGGCTAGTCTTGAACTCCTGACCTCAGGTGATCTGCCC